AAACTGCTCTTCCACCATAGGAAGAAAAATTGCTTCTTAGGGTTTTGGTGAGTGGTGATAGGGACGCTCGTGCCCCCAAGCCAGCAGCTGCTCCCCACACCTTGCAGATACTTCAGCTCTGAGACATTACAGGTACAGTAGGATGCAGAGGCCCTCTGCTACAGGAGGATGCTGACCAGGGAGACAACCCCTCCAAGCTAGACCAAAACTCTGCATGCAGCTGTGTTAAGCCAAGATAGCCCAGATGTGGGTCCCTCTGCTTAGTGTGCCCCACTGGGTTTCATTAGCCTGTGATGAGCCACAACACCAATATAACTTCAGTTGGCACAGTGATAATGACCTGTAAGACTACTACCATGCAATTTCTACCAGGCAGTTAGGAGTGAGCAGGATTAAAAATCACAGCCCAGCACTTTGCTCTCCACCAATATAATCTAAACACTCAACCTACATAATGAAATAATGTGCAAGTCAACTTCAACATTCTTTCATGCACCCTTCCAACATAAAAATATCAGCATACACTACATTATATGCACATATTGCATACTACTAAATCCAGAGAGAAGCCTCTGGACACACGCAGCACCCAGCCCAGGGACATGGCATTTTCTCAGCTTGGCCCAAACAACCCCATGCTTCAATGCAGCCTCCTGGGTCTTGTCTCTGGTTTTCACAGGCAGAGCCAGGCCTGGACCCTCCAGCTGCAGACGCTCCCCAGCAGCACCACACTCTCGCTTTGCAGAGTGCAAAGAGTTCATTTATGGCTCAGGCTATTTTTTTAAATTTTATCTTTGCTATACGATTTTCTTGCCTACCCCCAAAGCCTATTAATGGTATAACATGGAGAAAGGCCAGGGAGCGCTTATCCTCTGGTGTGAATTCATAGCAGCTTCTCTCCGTTTCCCTCCAACATCCTGAGTTAAACATTCCCTCTCCCTCCTAGGCTTGTGCTAATCCTCTCGCTTCACATCCATTCTGCTCCGACCTCGACGCGTCTGCCGGGGCGCAGAGACCCCGAGCTGAGATGTTGCCACCTCCTGCACTGCTCTTGCACGTTAGACTCTTTGTGCAAGGAGAGCACCCTAAGCTTTGTTTAAATTTTAAGTGATGTTCCTTCACTTAGCCCCTATGGAGCAGGTGCTTTCAGAAAGGCTGTTTTGGAAAGAGGTGAGGTCAGGTGTGAGGGGGTGAAAGAAGAGACAAGGAAAATAAATACAATCGCTTTTTGTCTCTCAGATCATTCTTTTAAGCCAACAAGCATCTCATCTGATGAAGGACGATGAGCATCAAGTATTATATAAGGATGATTATACAGGGATTTAATGCTTGGTGGGCTCATATCGCAAGGGTTACCTCAATGGTAATGCACTCACTTAACTAGCCTTGTGCCCACGTCTGCTGTTATGTGGGCAGTGCCACCGGGGGCAGGCGGAATCAGAAACAAGATTTGTTTTAAGGGGGGAAAAATAAAAAATAAAAAAGCACAGCCCCCTTCCCACCAAGGATGGCAGCTCCAGTCCCACCTCCTTCCAGTCCTGCTCCATCCCTGATTAATGATGTTGTCTGCCTGATTTATGACCCACCCCAACAGATTAGAGTTTCCCTCCTCAACCTCCCCTCCCTCCAGCCCAGCTCGGAAGGCACAGCCACACTCCGCTGGAAATATTAGAGAATTATTAAATAAACATTCATACGTCATGTCTCTTCCCATACTGAGCTCATCGTAGTCAACACTCGGCGGCCGGGCCCTGTTTGCTTTCAGGCTGACACGGACCAGCTGGAGTGATTCATGGAGAGGCTGGCTACAATGTTTCGTGTCATATATCATGCTAGCAGCGCTCCCTGCCCCGGCGGAGATAAACTGATCAACCACAACGGGCTGGAATGAATTTATGACAACACAAAATTGAGGAAAACAAATGGGAGGTGACCCAGTGGGCCACTAACCCAGACTCTCTCGCTGGCCTGCAATCTCGTTTGGTGGCAGAAAGCAAAATTGAACATTGGCACTCTGAATTAAGATGCTGGCTTTTAACCCCGGCCAGCCTGGGTTTCCAAACGGCACCGGGCCCCGCGCACGGGAGGGAGGGAGGTGTCCGGCGGGAGGGCGTGCGGGTGGCTCCGTGCGGAGCGGCGCTCGCTCCGCTGCTCCAGAAGGAGCTGGGAGGACATCCGAGCGCGTGGAGAGCAGCAAAACACCCTGAGGCCGCCGCGAGGCTGCCCCAGAGCCCACTCGGGAAGCGCTTTGCTGCCCATCTGCTGAGGAGCTCGGCCACCACCACCCCCGAGAGCCCTCTCTCCTGGGAAAGAGCCGGGACCCAACCCGATCCCTCGCTGCCTGCAGCTGCTACCTGGAGCTCACCCGTAACACAGATGACCTGGGATATCAAGGACCTGTCGTGGTGTGAGGACACACGAGGACACATGAGGCACAGGCTTTCCCCAAATCCCAGCCAGTCATTCTGCATGGAGCCTTTTCTAGGAAAATCCAAGCCCCAATTCCATTAACTTGCAGGCAAAGAACTTCGGCTCCATGCCAAAATAAGAATCGTTTGCCATATTGTATTAACAAATTTGTTAAAACACACCCATCTCCTTGCCTAGACTTATTTTTGGAAGACGGGAGGGGGGAAGGAATGTCATTCTTATAGAAGCAGGATCGATATGCGGAATCGCTGCTAACTCTATTACCCCTTGTTCTAAATGGAGAGCACGGCTGACACAGGTGGTAAACCACGGGCTTCTGAACACTTTTAAAAATGCTAATCAGATGCAACACAGGGTTTAACATGCCAATCAATAATGCTCAGATTTAAAAGCAAAAATTAAAGTTACAAACAATAAAGTGATGCTGCCAAAAACTTCCTGCAAATGCCACCCAAAACAAGAAAAATGAAACCAATTTAGCTCCAGATTAAGAAACAGGAACTGGAGATGAATCAATTTAGCCTGTTGGGCTGGGTCACCATATATCATGGCTCAGCAGCGGAGAGGGAAGCAGCCAGACAGTATGAAACCCTTCTCCCCCCCACCTTTTCTGTAAGCTCCTAGCTCTGATCCCTGTTATCAATTAATTTAACGGAACCCGTCTGCACAGACAAGCACACAGAGCATTCAGACTCCTTCAGTGGCAGGACAGAAACTATTTATCACTCACGTATCTCAAAGGAAAGATGGGCAGGGAGACAAGGCAGTTCGGAATCCTCCACCTGAAACACCATCTTGCCTTCTGAACGTCAGGGAAATCAAGACCCTTAAATAAAAAGCTCTCCCCGCTACTTTCAAAATCAACATTATTGGAAAGACTCAGCAAGACACTGAGGCTTTTCCTGTAATTTCTATTGGGTTTTGCTGACCTCTGGCACCTTTTGCAGAACTGAAGCTTTAGCAGGAGGAGGTTATTGCGGAGCAGGAAGCGCGCACGCCTGCACCCACATTCCCCCTGCTTTGCAGTGGAGTTAGCACGAGCGTTGTTTGGAAAGGATTCCGGGATCCTTCAAAAGGTGCTAGCTAAAGCCTCTTTGATCAGATTATTAAAGCTATGTCAATTTTATCACTTGAGCTCAAGTGTTCTGGAAAATGTCAAATCCTTTCAGCTCCCGCAGTTTAAAGATTTTCAATAGGAGTGGATCTGGGAGGGTGGAGGGCTGCTGGGCTGGCAGGCAGGAGGCTCGAAGGGAAGCCAGGCAGTGGCTGAGAGAGGCCGGCAGATTAGGGCACAAGGGACAAAACGTGTGCCCTCGAGTCCCTGCCACCAAGTCAACACACTGGCTCATCCTAAGGACAACCCTTCTGCTGAGCTGCCAGCCCCAAACTCACTGGTCTTTGGCCAAGCTCTGCCCACTGAGAGGCTTCCAACAGCAGAAACCCCACGTTTGGGGTATGCCAAGGAAGGCTCAGCATAAAGAAAGTGCCAGGACCATGAGGCAGTGCTAATGCTTCCCACGTGGCAGGGAGTTTTCTCTGTTAACGCCTGAGAGCAAACATAGCTTTGTGAGGCTTCCCAAGCTGTTGGATATCCCAGAACATTCAATGGATGCAATACCTGGGGTCAGGATGAGAACAAATTATATTACAACTGGTTTTACAGAAACTTAGTTATTAATTTCTATATCAGATTTTCCCCATTCCCAGTTGTCAGTGGACCTCACGCCCAAAATACAAACAACACCTCTAGTTAAATCCCATGCTGTTTCTTTGCTTCTGTCTCATTCAAACTGCTTTGCTTCTTGCTTACTGTACAGGCTACATTTATTTCAGGCAATAATCATCTCTCCCTCAAAAAAAAATTAATGAGCATGGTTCCCAGTAAGAGTAAGAGCCTGTAGCTTTGGGTCTGGATCGGCAAAAGGGCCTAGCAGCTTATGGGAGGAGGCCAAGAAGAGCAGTTGTTACATGGTACAGAAAACAACAGTTGTTTCTATCCTATATTAGGTTGCAGGATATCCAACTAGCAGAAAGAGAAAGGTAAGGATATAACCAGGAGCACCTGCACTATCATACAGTCAAACACTGGGACTCAAACTTCTAAATTAACTGCAATGGCTGCAGGTGCAACACAGTCAGTACTGTAAAAGACATTTCTCTCAGTTACCATACAAAGAGGTCATCTGGATTCAAAAGAAAGAAAAATTCCCTCAGCGAGCCTCCTGGCAAGTTATGCAACTGCCAGAATCCCCCTGTCCAGAGAAATGAAGGCTGGAACATGCAGCCTTCATGGAACATACAAGGCAAAAACAGAATTGAGGCAATGTGGGAAACTGCTCTCAAGACCCAAGGCACAATAATGAAGTCATTTCTCCAGTAAAAGGACGATCACATGGATACATTTACAGCTTATGTTTTGCAGGAACAATCAAGAACTGCGAGTACAGCTCCACAAGCCATTTTTTTTTCCCCTCAGGATACCCTCAGAACAGCACTGCTTCTTGGAGCTCCAGATAGGCCACTAAGGTCCCTAAAACAGAAAAAAGGAAAGCTATCCAATTTGCACTCACTTCTCAATGTCACTGTTCTTACAGGTCTTCTGCATGGTCTCCTGTTTACTGCTCTCACCATTACTCGTTGAGGGCATTTCTGTTGAGGGGAGAACAACAACATTAGTAAAAGAACAACTGAGCATTTAAATTATGTAGTTGGAGCGAGTTACAGGTGTGTAAGCAGAGGACCCTGGTGAGTCATTTTTATGTCAGAGAGAGAAGAGATGGACAGTATGTGTCCCTGTTTGGCTGAAACCCTTCTCTCTGGATAGCACACTTCTATGGTTCAGGGCTGAAGATGCAATCCCCAACCTCTCCTTACTTCAGACAGTTTGAAGATCGCGGATTTGCCAGTTAAGCTAGGATTTAATTCAGAAAGGTTTGATGCAGCTGCCATGACAGAATATATTTCTGCAAAGGTGAATCTGGAGCAAATCCACCAGCCAACAGCCTGCTCTCGGCTGTTGCCTTTTTCTGAGATCCCTCAGACACAGGCAGGGAGAAAGATGCATGCAGTACCGATAGGAACAGTCTGCTCCGAGCTTTTTTCTCCACCGGCATTCCCTAGTGCTGGAGGGGATGTGAGCCCGCAGGAAAGGTGACAGTAAGAAATGAGCCACATGAACTGGCCTGCAGGTCAGCCCCTGGGCTATAGGTTCAGCACTGCTGCTTTAGGTAAAAGACACAAAGAAAAGGCAGGCTTATAGGAGGTGCCATCAGGGCTGCTGCTTCATCACCTCTGTGACTGTAGTTACTGAGGCAGAACACACCTACAAGCAAGGGATCCTACATCATAGGAAATAAATGTGATTCCCTACCCCATAGAAGAAAACGGCTGTGATAGACATCTTATGCTCTTCACTTAATGATCATGCCCCTGGCAAAACTGCTCCCACCCCTGTCTCTCCCCCTCTTCTCACTGGCAAGCAGTTATGTTTCATAGGTACTTCCAAGGCTGGAAATCAAATGCCCAAAGCATTACAGTAACAGAACAGGGAACAGAATCATTGGGACAAGGCTCTTCAGGTCGCTGAGCTTCACTTCCCTTCCTAGGGGAGGGAACTGCACTGCCCAGCTCTGGAAATAGATTTGGCATCTACAGCTGGAAAGTGCCAGTTTTTATTATTGTCATATTTCCACAGCATTGCTGCTTACACTTCCAGTGCTACTGGCATTAAATAAAACAAAGCAGCACTTATATAGGTTTAAAAAATACCAGTGAATTCTATGAGCTTTCAAATAATGCAAGCAAAGGTACAATTTCACACCTACTCATCAGCTCTGTCATCTCCACTATGGATCACTAGGTAGGACTGATCCCAGAGTTTCTGATCTAAATGTGCAGGCTTTAGAGCTATAGGCTTCTCGTGACACACAGATGGTAGCAAGGAGAAGACCTATATATCAGATTGTGGCAAGTCTCTACAATTCCCTTTTAAAGAAGGGAAGACTCTAAGAAACTGACTGGAAAAAAGCAACTGGCGCCTATGTATTTCCAACCCCCAGCAGCTGAACAGTTACACCAGAGTCAAGCTCTGACGTGTCCTTCTGTGAAACAGCAGCTGGTCTTTCAGTGACAAGACAGCAGGTCAGTGCAATCCCTACCTCTTACTCCTACACCAGGTACTGCTCAGATGCCTTTTCAGTGTGTCCAGCTACAGCTCAGAGAGCTCCTCTCCAGAGATGAGCCGCACTGTTAGCTAATTCCTGGCTGGAATTAGCCAAACATGCTGCGCCAAGCAGTCACCAGCACTGTTTGAATGCAGATTATTACACAGGTAATGCTATTCACAAAACATATGTGAGTTCTTGAGTCAAATACTGGACTGCAAAACAGGTGACTAGAGGCTTGATCTTGACACTAGCCTTGTATGCCCCTTAAATCCTATCTTAGTGTGTCTAATAAGAGGTGAGTATCAATTTGCACGAAGAGGTGCAGAATTCAGTGTGTTGCATTTCTGGGATCTCTCCCAAATACCCTTGCATTCAGTTGGCTGCACTGTAAAGGTTCTGCAGCTTCTGTAAAAAAATACTTCTAATCATGTACAAGTCTGTAATATACATTTGCAGGTACTGCACAAGTACCCTTGCAACTACCATTTTCAACCACTGTATGGGCAGTCAGAAGATACGGAACGTCTACCTGCCCTCCTGTAGCATGTGGATGAATAATTCACACGTGTAACACTCACCGTCACTGGCCCATTTAGAAAACTCCGGCGTTATTCGAGTACTGGGTGTGCCACCACTAAAAGAGAAAAGGGCAGAATGCTGAAAGTTGGATATGGAAAACTACTCTGCTTGAAAGAAGTCTACACACCACATCTTTCTCAATACCTCTGTCCATCAGCCAAAACACCAAATGTGAGCAACTGGTCCACTGCAGAAGGTGTTTCTGTGCTGTGTACACCAATATACTCACAGCCTGCTCTTCTAGCTGTGACCCCTGCTAAATCACATGGGGGATGTCACGCTGCGTGAAGACTTGGGATTCAAATGGTGCCTGTCTGTGACTTAAGGCTCATTCTGAAGCTGTGATTTCAAGAATGAAAACCTTACTGGTGAACAGAATGTCTGTCTCATAGCAGTTTCTGCAGAATAACTGCACATCATAGGTCCTATTCTTTATTACTTCAATTGAAGAACAGCACTGAAGTGCAGTGAACTTAAGGCCCTGTCTTACAAGTCTGTAATGGAGGCAGGAAAAGAATCTTCTGAACAACCTGGATACTTGTGAATATGAAACACTTTAGCTCTGAGAGCTGAGTAACACTCACATGATAATCCAGGCTCGTGCTTCAGGCTGTCAGCTAAACCTGCTGTACTTCTATAGAAGCTTGACAGAATTTCATAGTACTTTACGAACAACATCATAACTCCTGTTTTAGAGATGGGCAAATGAGTTCAAGCCACATGCAAGCACTCTGTCCAGACAGCAAAACATTTTAGTGTGAGAGTTATATAAACGGACCAGGTCTCCCAGCCTCCAGTCCTCAGCCATCTCACCAAGCACTAAGTGTCCATGGCCATTAACATGGGATGGCTGGATATCCTCCTGCTACAATCCTGCTTTCCTGGACGTGAAGCAGCTTCGGCATTTTTGAGACACTGCCTGTGGACTAGCAATGTTAGCAAAGTATTGAATGGATCAGTGGTTTGGATCCTGTGTGGCAAATCTCACACTTCTATGGAGTGGAACTTAATTTTGAACTAGTGTTTGTGACAGGCTAAGAAGTAAGAAAATTTCATTTCACTGCTCTATCAATCACTTCAACCTTGATCTCACAGCATCACTCAGTCCAAGAGATAGGGGGCTAATTTAAACCCTGCTTTATGCAGGGCAGAGGGCTTGGAAAGCAATTCTAGTTCTCTGTTAAGACTCACTTGATTTGCCTGAAATGCCTTCCCAACTGCCCTGCGCATGGCTGCCTACACTCTGCCTCAGGTATGTGGGCAGCACACACATCCTGCCCAGGTTGCTTGTGCCCTGGACCTGACTACACAGGGAACCGTTTGTCTGTGCCTCAGAACGTAGTGGGATGTGGCCAAGTCACACCCGAGGAGTCAGACTTCTAATAGACTGAACAAGATTCAGATGGCATCACGTTATATCTGCTTTTATTAAAGGCCACGTTTCATCTGGGAACATGGTAAAGCCTAAAGGCCTAGTGCAGCACAGATTCTCCTTGAGCAGAATACAGCTTCTGTCTAGCACTGCTGGGGGAGAAAGGAGTGCTGGCTGGCCACCAGTGTGGTCAAGGTGATGGAGAATGTGCAGGGAGGCTTTTACAAAGAGGCTGCACAAGGAGAAATTCAGCCCTGTTACACATTGCTTCTTGGCAAGCCTTCCTTGCTGTGACTCTTGCACTTAAAAAGGAACAGACATTTTCCACCAATTCAGATCCCCCAAGTAAAACGGAAGTAAATCAGAAAGGCAGAGCACTTACTTTAACACAGCACCGCGGAGCGCCTCCCTCTCTTTGGCTTCACCTGGCTCTTCCCCAGTGCAAGGGATAACGTCTGCCTCGGTGTACCTGAGCACAAGGGTTAAGGAGCACACAGCCTGGCAGCAGACAGTGGGCAGGCACTCTGCTTCTGAGGTGGTTGGGACACTATCTGGCATACAGAGCAAATTCATTCCAAGGGGAACACCGCAAAGAAGAGCGGCTGGTATCCAGAGGGACATGCTTTTAAATAACGGATCAAAATGCTGTTCTACGTTAAGGGATACAGATGGGTCCTTTGACTGCAACGTGAAGGCATAGCTCTTAGAAGGAGAAACAATTCTCCGGTCTTTGCAAGGGGTACTCACATTAAGTCCACTATTTCTATTTGAGCTACAGAGATCTTTTACCAGAGAATGATTGGGTCTTCGCCCTGAAAATGTGGTACAGATTTCAATAAAATCCCATTCTAGAGCTATACATTCTTTCACATCACAGCTAATGAGTCTACACCTGTCTAATACCCTTGTAGGACTCCCTCCTTGGTGGCCGCACTGCTGCTGTGGGGCAGAGAAAGTTTGCCACAGCTCTCCTAGAGCTTTGTCAAAATGGTCTGGCTCTTGGATGGAGGAATTCCAGTAAAGTGCCTTTTTTGATGGTTCTGCCCATGCTCTGACCAATGAAAGGAACAAAAATGCAGGCTCTCAGTAACAGTGACAGATGAACAGTGCTTTAAACTGCACAAAAGCTCTGAAAATAAAGGAGTCAGAAAACCACATGACTTGTAGAACAGAGACTAAATTCTTACCAGTGAAGCAGAAAAAACAAAAAAGGGAAACAAACAAAAAAACAAACAAACAAAACAATCTATGTAAAGGAAAGCATGGTTGGAGACATCACTGGTAACGAGAACAGCTTATGAATTACTCCGTAGAGAAACAGTGTAACTTTACCTCATGCAACATTTCCTACACCTTTCACCATCTGGGTCTGAAGCAGCATTGTGTGAACAGAAGAATGTCAAATGGAGTATCTGAGAATCCCTCCTAGCTCATATAACAGGGTGACCATGGAAGGTGCTGCCATTTCCAGTAGGGCTGGGCACAGACCAGCCAGCATTACCCTGTGCTGTATCAGAGCTAGCTGAAGCACAAGATGCACCTCTAAACTCCCTCTCAGCAAGAGCCTTTCAAAAACGATACTGTGGTTTCCCGTATTCAAGTGTGTCGTCCCCATCCACATCCAGGTCAGCGTCACTGTCTGGATTCTCCTTGCCGCTGCACATGATAAACCCAGAACCTGGAAGAGATAAAACGTGTGGATTAAGTTTTTGAATCGGAGTCCAAGGGAAGGAGACCTTCTGAGGACAATGTGCAGCACAGGTCTGCAGGCTGCCCTTTACTTATAACAGACTAACAGAAGGTACCTGCTCCGAAGACTGCAGAAGGATTAAGTTCCAAAGACTGTACAAAGGATGCTCACAGAAATGCTCCATCGTCCTGGATTTTATGTTCTAAAATGCCCCCTAACACTGAAAACGAAACCTTCTTGTCCTTCTCCTTTCCACACAAAATTATATGAAAGCAGAAGCATCTCTCTCAAAAACAGAAAATAGTAAAGCTATGCAGAGAAGACAATGACTATGACTTTTCACAGAAATGAGTAACACAAAAATCCCACTACAGGCACTAAGAGAAAGCCACAGGAACATTCTGCCTCTCACTAACATATCCACAAGCTTGTGCTGCCAGCAGACTTATGCTTTTCCAGCACAGAAGTGAGCTGTATTTCTAGCAGTCTGCACCTGTGCTGAGAGCAGGGCAAGCTGAAGGCCTCATTTCCAAGGACAATACAGGGAAACAGCTCTTTACTGTTGCTCTCTAGGAATGGATGAGCTCCCTGATTCATTAAGTCCCCAATAAAATTTGTTTATATGGATTTGATATTTCTCTTCTATGAATACAAAGAAGATCCTCAACGAGTGATAACCATAGCATGACAATGAATTTAAGACTAACCTTTCCTAGAAGCATAAACTACCTTTTACTTCGATGTAACTGCCAGCCTTAATTCTTACTGGAGCTAACAAAACTAGCACTGACAACGCAGCATCTACCTTCTGCTTCAGGTAGAACAGGAGTCATACTCATAGGTCAACTCCGCAGTATCTTCAGGGCAACCTTCTTCTATCAGACCCCATATAAAGTGTTTCATGTACTGGCTGCATGCTGCCAGCCAACATATGTCACAAGCTGCCTTCTGCTGCTGCAATGGCTTATCCAGTAAATCTTGAATCCTTCAGTTCATCACAATGTTTGGGAGAAGATTTAGAGTACTAAGAGAGACCTGTCAGAGAAGCTGGATAGTCTTTCAAAGCTGCTTGAGAAGTCACAGTGGGCAATGGAGTAGTAATTTACAGGCAGGGCGTTTAACCTGCAGTAACACCATCCTCTGAACCTGGCATTACTTTAGCCCATCACTTCTCAAAGGCCATAAACTTTGGACACCCGGGTCTTCATTTTTCTTTTGAAGATGTGGGAAACACAAATCATGCAAAGCTGGAGCTGTGCCTTGGCCAGTCCCATAGGTGATCTGAATGTGAGCCAGATAATGAATACTTGGAACGAGCGTCTGCAGGGAGCAAGAGGTCAAAAGAGTGAATGTAAATGGGATCGCTCCCTGTGTCCCTCTGTCTGCAAGGATGCCAAGCACACAGCAAACATGCACCTTTCCATCAATTTTCCTTCTAAGACACTCAAGCCAACTAGTGGTTTATGGTCAGAGCTTAAGAACAGCAAATCTGCTTACTACGATACAATTCACAAATATCAAGGCACTTTGACTTCAGAATCCTCACGTCCTTGCTCTCAAGATCTTTGTACTTGAGAAAATCCCCTTTAAATCTATAACGATAATACTATTGCAGCCCTTTTGCAGAACTTAACTCAGCAGTAGGAACGACTGCACTCCCAGAAGAGCAGCATCCCTGAATGCACAGAGGAAGAGTTTGGACAGTCGGTATACGTTATGATGCCAGATACACACTAGAACGACCTGATGCAGTAGCTTTCCAAACAGAGAGGAGGGGATATGGATTTTACAGGTTGAGATATGCTGCAGAGGGCAAATTTCTTTCCTAATCAGATAGGTGGATCCCCAGGCCACAAATATGTTCCCAATGTGTATCAAAAGATTTATAAATCCCAGTACTGCCGCTGCCTTAAAGAGAACACCGAAGGAAAGGATGCAAAGCTGAGGCGAGAGGCAGCCTGTCGAACGAGCCGCCCACCGCAGCTGCCTCCAGCACCGTTTCATCTGCAGCACGGATGGGTTTTAAGGTCACTTCTGAGGGGCTGCGGTTTGGTGCCAGCGTTTCAACCTGGCTTTCCTTGTCTAACTTCCTGGTGTTGCTTTCCTGCACAAAGCCAGTGAAAACAGCCAGGCAGCTGTTCAAATATTTGACATCTGAACTGCTTGACATTATTCATTCCTCTCAGGCTCATTCAAAACCAGATTTCTGGACAAGTGTTGTTATAAATGGATTAAGAGGGCCACTAAATGCAAGGAAGGCCTGATGGGATCACACCTGCTTCTCACCAACTTAGCCCAAGTGCAAAGAAGGCTCCAAACTTCCACCTCCTGCCTATGGCATAGGCTGCCATCCAGAAGCAAAGTGTAAAATGCAGCACAGAAGGTGCTGTGTGGATAAACGTGCCTCGCGGTGGCACCTCTGCTGCAGAACTATTAAGGGAGAATGGGAGTCTCCAGAAGATCCTACTATGACTCCCAGGTGATCTGCAGTTCAGTCGAGTGCTCTGGGAGCAGCGGACAGGTTTCTCTGGCAGGTTCAGCACTCTGAAGGCCACGCAGTAATTCACTGCCATCAGCAGTGCTGCCCAGAGTAGACCACTAAAACCAATGCCGCTCTCCAGAGGTCAATGCTCAGGTCTAGAACTTTATCCCAATGCGTTAATAAAGTCAAATCCAACAACTGAATGTTAAGTTGCAAGTTTGACCTGGGAATTCACAAGAGACATGATCCTGAAGCTGTTATTCACAGATGCAGCAGCAAATCTTACAAGAAGAGTCACCTGAGGCCTAAAGAACATAATTCCACACTTGTATTTGAAAATGCCACTTTCAGATAGAACTTTCAGAAAATGCAGATTCTCTCATTCCTTTCTCTTTGCTTGCTGAAGCTTTTTTTGTTGTTGTTCTTATCATGCATTTGGTTGGAGGCAACTGCAACTGTCATATGTTGCCAATCCCAATACAATTAGTCCTCCCAATGCTAAAGCTGCACAATTCTCTGACAGTCTTAATCGCAGCTGCCTCCTTCAGGTCCAGACAAACAGGAGTGAGCAGGCAGGTCAGACGCAGGGGCCATTAAGCAGAGAAAAAGCAAAGTTACAGCTCTGTCTCCAATCCCCATTGCTCTTGCAGCCAGGTGCTCTGACAAGCAATTCCAGCACTGGTATTGAGTGGCACCTCTATAAACCCTGTGACAGTTTGGGAGACAAACTCCCCCATCAATCAGAATGTACCTATCAAGATCACTTACGCAGAGTGCCCACGACCCTCCAGTGCTGTGTACACAGCTCTGCTTGGGCTGGCCTCAGAGCACCAATTCAAGCTAGTTCCTGAACAGTCTGGTACTCTACACAAGCAACAGTTCTTCTGAAATACAGATGCACAGCTTTGAAAAGGGAAAGGAAAAAAAAATGCCTCTCAGCTACCGCCAGGCTGCAGGCACTGACAGGTTACAGGAATCAGCTGAGCTTGAAGGAGACTGGATAACACTTCCCATTTTTTTCCATGTACAGATTAATAATGGCTGGAGATAAATCTCATCAGAAATCCTTTTCTTCCCCTTTGTGTAAGTTCTCAGAGCACTTTGCTTTCTCCTAAGCTGTCCCCTATGCCTAAGCATCCTCTCTGACCTCTGCACTGCTTCTCAAATCTCACTTCCTTGTGCAACCCTCCAGATGACAGGTCATCTCAACATATCTTAAGTGAATGGCAGCTCAAGCTAAGATCTGCAGTCATTAACATGATATATAAGCAGATTCAGAGAACAGAACAGATAAAAGGGCCTCACATTCAAGTCCCTCCCTTTCTCCATCATGCTCAGTGGCAGATGGTCCAAGTGACAACATGTGCAGCTTCAGGTGCTGGCAGCTCTGTTAGCTGCTTGTACAACTAAAACATCACTGTTATTTGTGCCACCATTATGGCTGCAGCAACTAGATGCTGCTCATACAGAGAATCAAATTTACCTACTTAGTGTTTCTCCTATTTGTCCCCTAAAAAAGGAATATTTGAATCTGTCACAGGAACCCACAATTCTGGATTTCTACTAGAAGTTGTGTAAGTGGGTCTAACTCCAAATCCACCTGAGGGGCATGCAGCTTTCCCAGGCTCTGGAAAGAAGCTGGGAAGAGGCTTTCACATTGCTCACAGGTAATTTACACATGTTCAGGAAGGAAGAAAATAAAGTTCCTGTAAATCACCAGAACTGTTGCCCTTCCTAATAACTGCAATAACTGTCACTGCAATAACCCCCTCCTGCAAAACCTCCCTTTCTAGCACATTCACTGTTTTCTTAACGAAATGACACTTGTTGGCTTCTCGGAGAGTGAAAGCAATGAGGGCAATAAAAGTAGTTTACACAGACATGCGGCCAGACCCCATGCACTTCCTGAGAATGGCTCTATACTGAGCTTATTTCATCAGGTGCTAAAGGATCCCAAACTAGTACCAAGATGACAAGATGGCATGGACGCTGTCTAATTTTAAAAGGTGATTTGGGAAGAAAGCATAAGCCATTAGGGATCATTGAAAATAAGAGGAAAGCTGAGAATGAGGCCATCCCAAACTGTGGTCTTCCTCCAGATTCTTAACATTTCTGCAGCCATGTTTCTGCAAACTGTTCCTTCTTCTCCAACTCATATGATATAGAAGAATTCTAACAGCGACTTTCACAGCCTCTTGCATGAAAAAAATTTACATTCAGCACCTATGAAATGCTGCTTCCAGGACAGGGGTTTTGTTTCTCTGGAGCCAGATCCATTTCAAGTGAAATAGTGATTTACCTGGAAAACCGACACCCAACTGTGTCATTACATGGAACACCTGAAATAGCAGATGCGTCAGTCTGACGTTGTCTGTTAGCTCCCACAGAGGCACAAACAAGCTGCCAGCAACCTGACTGCTCACCAACATCTTGGATGCTTGCAGGGATCTTCGCTAACGGAGCGGAGGAACAGCTGCCTTTAAAGAAAGGGCCATATAATTTTATG